CCGTGAAATTTAGTTCAATATTCAGCGAGTTAAAGTAAATGAAAACTGCTCAACACATTATACTGAGTGGAGCCGTCGACCCACCCAAGATGTGAGCGCCCATAGGTGAAAGCGGTGGATGCTCCTACATCACGGTTAATGTTTGGCTAACTGTCAGACTGTAAACTAATGTGCAGCACACTTATTAGCAGCGTATTCACTGAGCTGCGCTGTATTTAAATCAACCTTTTATCTGCCACTCTGTTGTTTGCAGGTTGTTTTTTGAGCCGGTAACGACTCCATGCGGCCACACTTTCTGCAAGAACTGCATTGAGAGGAGTCTGGACCACAACGTGCGCTGTCCACTCTGCAAGCAGCCGCTGCAAGAGGTAAACCCCAGACAGACATCCTAGATATTCTCTACTATGAAATATAAATAATATGCTTTATAATCGTCTCATAAAGATCTTTTCTGCATGCGGAAACCCTGCCGGTGTGTATAAAACAATCAGAGCCTTTTTCAGTTATTATTAGCACTATTATTATTATTATTATTTGCAAAAGTATTGCGAGATCTCGCAAAAAATAAACTTTTGCGAGATCCTGCAATACTTTTGCGAGATCCTGCAATAGTTTTGTGAGATCTCGCAAAAGTATTGCGGGATCTCGCAAAAGTAATTTTTTTCTCCTCCATGTCCCTTTTGGGGCTCCGTACATTTGAAATTACAACTAAGACAGAAAGAAAATCTGTGCCTATTTAACTAAATATAGTCTAAATATGTCTGTTATATGTGGATTTATCCTGTTTTTTCTTTTGAAGTTATAAAATGTGCAGAGGTTAAACCCACACTTATCTTTGAAATATTCTCTCTGTATCATGAAAGAAAGATTAATAGATTCAAGGGACACCAAATAAATGTATTATATTTACAGGAGCACTGGAACTGACACTGCGCATTTAGAATATTAATTTCACTCTACAAGTCATCTAGGCTGTAGTTACTCTATTTAACCCATATCATGTATTTTATCTCTCTGAAACAATTCATCGGAATATTCGATCATTGAAATGTCAACAAATTTAGTCATCAATTAATCGTTAACTGGATTATAGAGACTCTAAAACATGTCTTTAGCTCACAGAGGGGCCCACTTAGAGTAGGAATTATACCAAAATTGTAAAAAAAATATATATATATATAAACAAAAATATTTTCATCTGTCAATATTCTCCCTCCCATCTACTGCTGCAACAAAGCTGCATTGTAAAGTATAAAAATGTTATTCACATGTAATTGTTGGTAGGGACAAGTAGGTCAGTCCAAAATGTTGGTAGGGACAAGTAGGTCGGTCCAAAATGTTGGTAGGGACAAGTAGGTCGGTCCAAAATGTTGGTAGGGACAAGTAGGTCGGTCCAAAATGTTGGTAGGGACATGTCCCTATGGTCCCTATGCAAACCTATAGTTTCCAATAAGATACAAGGAATACAAATCAAATATACGATCCATCCCCAATGGACTCTAACAACTATTACTTTAGTACTTTTATTACTATATAAACTCATACAACTGACATTGCTCAGAAATTTTTATGCATAATTTGTTTTTGTTTCCATCAATGAAGTCCTAATTTTACTCTTTGAATAAGAATGGCTTCTTTATATTGTTGGTTTTAAAGTTTAACTCCTAAAAAACCTAACAAAGGACCGGGTGTTGGAGTCTAACTGAAGAGGCTACAAACAGAACAACTGCTGCTTTTATTTGCTCTCATTCCATTTAAAATTAATATATAATATGTTGTTTAAATGCACAGATGGAGAAATTTGATATTTAACATGTTTTTGAAAGCAGTTTCTTGAGAAGAAGGGGGGTTTTTCCTTTTTTTTAAATGATGTTACACAGTAAAATGTTATGTCTTACATAAAAATCAATTTAAAGTTCGAAAGGTCAAACTGCTGTGCTGCCATCTAGTGGAAATATAAAGGAACTGACAAAAGATCCCTGAACTGAATTCATTCTCCTTTTAATATGAAATAGCTTTTCTTTGTAAAATTTACAAATAAAAACACTTAAAAAAAAGTTATATAAAAAACAAACAAAAAAAAAACAAAAAAACTTCCCAGTTGCTTCAGTTAATCCTTCGATTGGCTCCTCAGCTCATGTTTCCGCCATTAGGAAATGAAAAATCTAGAAAAAAAGTGTTAGTTTGAGTGACTTTACAGTTTCTGTTTTAGTATGTCAGTTACTTCTGATAAACAGGATGAAAAGGAGGAAAGTTTGCATCCTTGAACTGCTTTGCTTTCTTGGCAAACTGAAGTAGATCTAATGTTTTGCACGCCGCCCTCTCTATAGATATATAAAACACAGATGTTGGAGGCTTTGATTTGTATTGATCTGCTGTGGTCTGTCCCTGACGTCCCATCAGAAGATTTTTTTTTCAGCTGACCTGAACTCCTTCTTCTGCTCAGAGACCCACAGTGTAAAACATGCTGAACATTGATGACTGACTGAGGAGATCTGTTCACTCTGCTCATTCTCAGAACCTTAAAGGAAAAGTCAGGAAAAGCAAGGAATAATCAATGGATCATTATTTTTTAACCTAAAACTAATACATTTGCAGCGATTTAATGAATTTAGTCTTAATCTTTAAAAAAATAAAAACAATACTTTTCATCACTGAGTCTGGGAGCGGCCATTTTTGCCCAAATATAGTAGCCCCTCCCTCCTGCCATCTTCCAGCAGTGACGTCACGGTGCGGTAAGCCTAGCGCCATTCTCCCCGCTTTACAAGCTAAATCAATGGGAACTACTAGACACATCTGCAATCAACAACAATTATTGAAGATTTCCAGAGGACTTCACCATTGAAATTCACCAGAGCTATAGTGAAACTGACAATGCCCACGTGCATGGCAGCTGGATGCTGGAATACATCGGGTAAAAGTGAAAAAAAGAGTTATTTCACCTTTCTGATTCCTGATCCTCCACGGACGGGTTGGTCGTTGGATCGCCAACTTGAAGAGGGAGGATTTGCCATCGAACTTCTGGCCAGAGAAAAAACCCGTAATATGTAGCCAACATTTGGAAGAAGAATGTTTTCAAGATGACTTGGATAATAGCGCGTTGTGACAAACACCAGATACAGCACTGGGACTTGATCAACAGCCGATACCGCACCGTGATAAATACATCTGTATTTCCTGTCTTAGAGACAGTCAAATATATTTTTATTTTGTTGTATGTTTTAGCCTTAAATTGTAGTTTCAGTTTATTTATATAGCACCAATTCACATCACACCTTATCTCAAGTTTCCAAATATTAACCTCTGTTCAACTTTTCACTTCCTTGGTTTTGCTTCTAAACCTTTTTCTTAAGCTCCATCTCCCTGAGATTGTCCCACTTTAGGAAAACTATCATCTGGATAAAACTATAATTCCCGTTGCTTTTGAATAGAATAGGACAGAATAGAATAAAATAGAATAGAATAGAATAAAATAGGATAGAATAGAATAGAATAGAATAAAATAGAATAGGATAGAATAGAATAGGATAGAATAGAAAAGGATAGAGTGGAATAAAATAGAATAGAATAGAATAAAATAGAATAAAATACAATAGGATAGAATAAAATAGGATAGAATAGAATAAAATAGGATAGAATAGAATAAAATAGGATAGAATAGAATAAAATAGAATAGGATAGAATAGATTAAAATAGAATAGGATAGAGTAGAATAAAATAGAATAGAAAAGAATAGAATAAAATAGAATAGGATAGAATAGAATAGAATAGAATAGAATAGAATAGAATAAAACAGAATATGATAGAATAGAATAGAATAAAATACAATAAAATAGAATGGGATAGAATAGAATAAAATAGGATAGAATAGAATAAAATAGGATAGAATAGAATAGGATAGAGTAGAATAAAATAGAATAGGATAGAATAGAATAAAATAGAATAGGATAGAATAGGATAGAGTAGAATAAAATAGAATAGGATAGAATAGGATAGAATAGAATAGGATAGAGTAGAATAAAATAGAATAGAATAGGATAGAATAGAATAAAATAGAATAGAATAGGATAGAATAAAATAGGATAGGATAGAATAGAATAGAATAGAATAGAATAGAATAGGATAGAATAGAATAGGATAGAATAGAATAAAATAGAATAGGATAGAATAGAATAGAATAAAATAGAATAGAATAGGATAGAATAGAATAGAATAAAATACCATAGGATAGAATAAAACAGGATAAAATAGAATATGATAGAATGGAATAGGATAGAATAAAATAGAATAGAATAGAATAGAATAGGATAGAGTAGAATAAAATAGAATAGGATAGAATAGAATGGGATAGAGTAGAATAAAATAAAGTAGGATAGAATAGAATAAAACAGAATAGGATAGAATAGAATAGAATAAAATAGAATAGAATAGGATAGAATAGAATACAATAGAATAGGATAGAATAGAATAAAATAAAATAGGATAGAATAGAATAGAATAGAATAGGATAGAATAGAATAGAATAGAATAGGATAGAGTAGAATAAAATAGAGTTGGATAGAATAGAATAGAATAAAATAGAATAGGATAGAATAGAATAAAATACCATAGGATAGAATAAAACTGGATAAAATAGAATATGATAGAATGGAATAGGATAGAATAAAATAGAATAGAATAGGATAGGAAATTGCTTTATTGTCCCACAATGGGGGAATCCTGGTGTTTACAGCAGCAAAAAGATTATAGGAAAAATATTTACAGAAATGTGGACCTTAGAGAAATGTATCAGAATAACATAATAGAGAAGAGTTAATAGATAAACAATAAAATAAAGTGCTGTAAAGCGTTTGAACAATATAAAACTGTTCAGCTTTTTAATGTTTGATGTCTGTGTTTGTATAATGAGAGTGACAGAAACCTGAGCGAGTGCCAGGGGGCGGGACCATGACTGGTTGATGAACAGTCCCAGCCTGTTGGATCAAAGCTGCCTCCTCAGGGCATCTTATAAAAGTCTGGGAGGAATTTCACAACCTGTTTTCTGCTGTAATTTACACTTTACACAGGAAGAGAACAACTTGTGACCTGGATGGCTTTGAGCTGGGTGCGGTTTTAAAAACATTTATTTCAGATGTTACCATAGTGACCTAATCCATCCAGCATTTGATATAAATTGTAGCATATGCTAATCTGGACCTGATTTCAGCCTGGGAGCCAAAAAATAAGGATGCCGATTTCAGTCTTTTAAGGGAATCCCTCTATTTCTCCCTCTGTTTACATGACAAAATAACACAGTGATAGAAAACGTTACAGAAGTCTCAATGTAAACAAAAGACAAAACCTTTATCAACGAATTAAAGGAAACACAGCAGCGCAGCAATGCAAATAATGTCAAAGCATGGCGGCTGGAGGCGCGCACCAATCAGCTGCTGGAGATTCCAGAATAAAGCTGAAAATGTTTGCATGTGGATTTATCAGGAATGTTTAGATGGTTTCATCCACATGCTAACTTCGCCTTCCTCCTCTCTTTTCTTCACAGTACCTAAAAAACCGGAAGTACAACCCGACAATTTTGCTTCAGGAAATCATGGAGCAACTTTTTCCCTCCCAGTTGGCTGAAAGGAAACAGGTTCATGATGCAGAGATGGCCGAACTCTCCAAGTAAGCATCCAACTCACTAAGGTTCCATCCATCCATCCATCCATCCATCCATCCATCCATCCATCCATCCATCCATCCATCCATCCAACCATCCATCCATCCATCCATCCATCCATCCAACCATCCATCCATCCATCCATCCAACCATCCATCCATCCATCCATCCATCCATCCATCCATTCATCCATCTTCCATCCATCCATCCATCCATCATGAACACTTCTATCAGTTTGGATCCAAAGTTCTGCTTTTGCTAAAAATCCGACTATTAACTTTATACCAACTATTGATCTAAATCAATAGTATAATCTTCTCACTTTATCAAAAACTAATTCTTAGAAAGGCAGTAGGCAGTTAAAAACAAACATCTGGAGAGAGAGCTCTTCATTTGCAAACTTGGATAAGTTTTGTGTTTTAATCTAAAGGAACTGTTCAGCAGGGAAGGTGTCTATTAAATATATGAAATGTTTTGAACGGATTTTTCCTGGTCATCACTTTTAGAGGAACTACAAACTGATGTTTAAACAAAAATCTTCAAAGGGAGACTTTATGTCCAGATTTCTCATTTCTGTCTCGTGTCTGTCTTGCAGCCTCACCAGAGACATCCCCATATTTGTCTGTACCGTGGCCTTCCCAGGAGTGCCGTGCCCGCTGCACATCTTTGAGCCGCGCTATCGGCTGATGATGCGTCGCTGCATGGAAACCGGCACCAAGAAGTTTGGCATGTGCAGCTATGAGCACGGCAAAGGGTATCATTTACATTTTATTCTATATACAGGAAATAAAGTAACTAGGCATCAAATCTAGGTTCTGTTTTCATGAAGATCCTGGGCAGTAAATTCCCTTAAATAGTTGTGAAGCGTTTCCTCCACACAGAGGAATGAAGCAGGTTACCGAGCAAAGCCTGAATTAATCCTATCGGATCCAGAAGGACAGGAAAGAAGAAGCCCGCTTTGCTAACAGATGGAAAGGGAATTATTCGCCTTTATGAAATTTCAAAAAGAAATTTCCATCCAGCATAAAAACAGTAATGAGCAAGAAGGTTCGTTTTGTAAATGGAAACTCATCCAGAAATTAATCTTTGAGAAAATGTCTTAATCAAGATTTTGAGAGAAACTTTGATCTCAAAATCAGATTTTGTTTTTTAAAAACTGTTTTTTCTTTATTTCTATTTTATTTATTTATTTATTTTTTTTTACAAATTTTAGATTAAATTTTCTGAATTCCATTCTTATCGAATTGCATTTCACAGATTGCATCCTTTTCACTTCAGGCCCAATAAAATCATTAAAGTCGACCAATCACATTCACTTTATTCACTCGTGAAAAGTCGTGCACCACTCTGGAGAATTCAGAAATGCCACGTTTGGAACAGGCGACTCCCTACGACTTTAAGTCATAAAGGGGGAAAAGAAGAGTAACGAGCAAGAAGGTTCCTGAGAGACTATGGAGTGAATTATGCTCCATTTTTATTGAAAGTAAAAAAAGAAATGTTTTGTAAATGGAAACTTGAAAAAATCTCATCCAGAAATGAATCTTTCTTAAGATGCAGGTTATCAAGCAACTTTGCTCTCAAAATGAGATTTAGTTTAATCAAAAACATTTTGTTCACTTTTATTAAATTTTTTTCACTAATTTAATAGTTTAAAATTATATTTTTTTAGATAAAATTTTCCATATTGAATTGCATTTAACAGATCACATCCTTTTTAACTACAGGCCCGATAAAAACACTTAAACCTGAACGCTGCAGACCAATAGAAATGCTCCTCACTTCAGAACAAAGCTCACGCCCCAAAAGTAAAATTTGGAAAATGCAACTGGTAAAACTTAATCTTTTTTGGATTTAAAAAAAATGTTGGGATTAAAAAAGAGTTATTGCGGAAATTTAGAGTGAAAATATAAAAATAAAAAAACCTAGAATTCTGTTCAGAAAGTGTTTTATAAACCAGGAAAAAAAAAAAATCCCATGAAAATTAAATAAAACTGAACCAGCGTTAGAACTGAACATGACGGAAAGAAGTGTTTTGGTAAAACTAGATCTGCTCTGCAGGTTTGCCGACTACGGCTGCATGCTGGAGATCCTGGACATGGAGAGGCTGCCTGACGGACGATCTTACGTTGAAACCGTGGGCGGCAGCAGATTCAGAGTGCTGAAGCGAGGACAGAGGGACGGCTACCACACAGCAGACATCGAGTACCTGGAGGACGTCAAGGTCAGTGTCTCACGAATTCTGCAAAACCATGAAAAAAAAAACGCAAATATTTAAAAAATAGGGAAGTTTTTCTGGATTTTTTAAAATCCTCCGTGTTTTCTCTGTGTTGCAGGTTGAGGGGAGTGAGCTGGAGCTCTTGCAGCATCTTCATGACAGCGTGTACCAGCAGGCTCAGGACTGGTATCAGCGTGTGGGCAGCCGCAGCCGCGACCACATAAACAGGCAGCATGGCAGCATGCCGGATAAGGAGGCCGACATTCAGGTTTGTACCGTAACATGCTTACTAACATTAATTCACCCGCCTCTAGTGGCTCAAAATCCACCGAGATCTGAGCTTTAAAATCTCTCACTGCGACAGTAACAAAATTTAGGGATGCACGATATTGGGATTTT